AACAGTGATTATTTAAGAAGTAACAACACATTACTATGAGCTACTCTGTGTGCATTTATTGAGAATCATTTGCTTTTTGTTTTTGGTAAGCCCCCTTGGCCCTATATAATCAGCTAAAACCAAACAAGCCAGATTCTAGTCTACTGTATGCAAAGACTATTCCAATACTTATAGCTATGTAACATAGTAGTTCTTTCTGATGGTAAGTACTAATGAAGATGCAAAGAAATTCCTGGATCAAGGGCTCATTTGACTTCTCCAATTTCATTTATTTCAAGATTAACCAGCTCTACCACTCTGAGTGTGCATTTATTTCAGAGGAATTTGCACCGGTAAAACTACATTAATTCTTTTACATAAAACAATGCAAAACATTGTGGTAAGTCACACAGGGGGCATAGTATCAACATTAAAGGTTTGTTCTGCTGTGACTACTTTGAGACAGTTAGCCTAAGTGAACATTTTCTTGATACAGATGAGCCTTAAAGGGAGTGACTATAGGATGGAGTAGTCTAGACCCAGGATATCTAGACTTTGGCATTATCATAACCAAGGCACAAAAAGCAAATTAGGTAATTACATGCTTTCTGTCAGTTGGTTAACATACAAAAGCAGGTGTCTCTGCAGTCCTACTGCTGATTCCTATGAGAAATGCATCCTATGAAAGGAAATGAGAGGCTGAACTGGAAAAGGGAGTGTGAAGAACGAGGAACTGAGACTTCTGACCTATCTCCCTCCACACAAGAGATTCTCAGAGTAGCTCTTTCATAAAACCTCTGTAGGAAAGAGTTGTGTTTAGCTAAAAAATGGTTAGTGAAAAGCTGCTTCAGAAAAAAAAAAAAAAGTATTTATTCATGTTTCTTTTTCTGTGCTACAGACCTGTTCACAGGACAAGGAATTTATAACTTGTGGTCATAACGTATCTGCACTCTTTGAGGCCTTTTCTTGAATACTGCAAAGGAACTGGAAATGGGATCCATTCCCATGAAGTTTTCTAAGTATATCTTAGAACTGATCAAAATTCAAGCTATTCCCCCTCCTGATGTAGCAGCAAGATGAACTTGAAGGAGCGGCACTGTCCTGGTTGGGAGAAAAGGATGTTATGGTCTGTTTTGCCAGGAAATTTGGCAAAACCCAGAGATACTAAAGACCCAAACTTTGTAGTCAAGAGATTGCTTTAAAATAAATAAATAAATAAATAAATATATATATAAAAAGCAGGGCTGCTCAACTGTTACAGGGCTAAGGACCACATGCCCCACAGGTCGCAGGCAGCCACAATGCACAAACTTGGGCTCACCCTCTGCTTCCTGCGCCATGCTGCACCACCCTGCTCCTTGGGTGGGTGCAGAGAGCAGAAGACAGAGGAAGGACGGGGAGCCCAGAGACTCAAGCTATTGTTGCAACCAGAGTGATGGGGTGGGGAGCAGGGAGGAGAGAAGAATGGCTGGGCAGGAGCCCAAGAGCTGCACCGTAATCCCTCATGAGGCCAGGGAGACACCAGTTGGACTGCCTTGGTGTATAGAGGAAGAACAGTTAAATCTTCTTTTCATAGGATGCTGACAGAGGTAAATTTGCTGCCCAACAAGATTGCTACAGCTGAACTCAAGACTTTTCCCCCTCTGAAGGGAAGTGGCATTCCTACAGAGTTGAGAGCAGATAACCTTTAGTGCTATAAAAATCAAACATCTCCATGAAAGACTTCACAAACAGATTAATACATGGGTCGGTATTTATTTTATTCACTGTGAAAAGGATTCTGATAGTTTTACTACTTTAATATTTCTGAAAAGGAAGAAAAATGCCATCTTCCTAAAGTTCTGTGTATAGATAAGTAATTTAGATGCAAGTATTTTATCAGTCAGAAGACAAAAATAACACAGCCTTCAGTTTCCCCTAGTGAGAGATTTCCTTTTCCTATATGGCAGGATTCTTTTTAGGCAAACGTCTTTGAGTAAAGCATAACCACAGAACATACTGTAGAAGAGGAGAGCAATTTAATCCCCAGATTTTTCTAGTGGCATCTATACTCTCCCTGTACGTGTGCGGATAGCAGCAGAAAACCCATCAATGGGGATAAGGACAAGCAAAGATAGTTTAGAATATGCTGGAATAGGGACATAATGGGTGGGTTTTATAAAATTTCTCTCTCAAAATACTGAACCCTCAAGGCCTCCTCCTAAATTGGATCTGGGAGTCTAATAAGATTCTACATTCAGCAAAAAATCCTCTGAAGGGGTCATTAAAATTAAAAGAATAAGTCAAGATTTTTTTTGATTCAGCAGCTATACATAAACAGTGAAAGTAGCATACCTGTGGGAAGACCCCAACCTTATCCATCTAAAACCGCAGATGTTATCTTGTTGCTCTGACAGAGGACACAGAACAAACTAGATAGGAGAAGGGAGCTACAGAGGAAAATTCTAAATGATGCTTACAAGAAGCAACTATACGTGTTGTTGCAAATCATAATATAGGGTCACCTTTTCACTTATAAAAAACAAATCTAACCCACATAATACAAGTTGCACATCATTTTCTAATAAAAATGCAGCCCTACCACGGAGAATGACAGGTAATAAAAACAGCTCAACCACCAATCATCCTTTTACACTGAGAATGGTAAATTCCGCACTTTGTCTTTTTATACTTAGGATTCTATACACAATTACACATCACTAATACAAACCACTTCCAATTAATGGTTTCTTTCCTCCTTTAACTCGTATGTTTGCACTATTCAGTCCTTTACTTTTACCAGTCGCACTGAAGTTACTAAACTTCCTACCTTTTGCTGCGATGATACAGGGGGTGTACTCATCAAAGGTTTCAGAGGAACAGTGTTGGTTTGAGGGGTGCTAATTCGTGGAGATACATATGACCTTGGTGATGAGGCATCCGATGTTAAAGACATTGGAGACTGGTTAGATGGCTGAGCTGTAAAAAAAAAAAAAAAAAAAAAAAAGAGAGAGAAGTGATTTTATAGCATCTTCTCCCACCTAAGCATAAAAGGTACTATACAAGAAATAAAATGTAATATACTAAAAACAATAAAATACCACACTCAAAATACAAAGAGAACAAACCAACCTAACTTGAAGGGATGAACACATATGAAATGGTTCGGAGTAAGTAAATGGCAAGTAGAAAACACTAAAAAGGGAGTTTTTTTGGTTTGTTTTTTTTTTTTTGGGGGGGGGGGGGGGGTTGTTCTTTTTTAATTTGTTTTGGTGTGTTTTGTTTTGTTTTACCAGCAGCTGGAGTTCTTTGAGACAGAAAACCTGATGCATGTGGACACTATATCTGGAGACTTCTTACCTTAGCAGTATCCATAGGGCACACCATTATCCCACTCTTATTCATACCCTTTGCTAAGGAGATAAAAGCCAGTGTGCCTTTCCAACTTCTTAATTCCCATTCAGCCCCAGAATTCTATACTACATAACCCCCAAAAAGAAGAGCAGGCAGACAGGGTACAGATATGCATACAGACAACACATCTCAGAATTCTATTGACGATAAGTGCGCAGAGGCAGCCACCAGATACATTTCCATGGACAGGTCTACATGCTTACGCTACAGCAGATCTTCTAATACAGTTAGAATAGAAGAATGGGCAAGGCTCAAGCTCCCTGTTACACACAAGCTAGAAAGTGTGGTTCACTTAGCCACACCAGTGCACAGAAGAGTCTTTTCTGTTGTAGATATCCCTTACTTGTCAGAACACCTCTGTTCGATCTCCTAGAGTTGGAGGGGGGGG